TGTATATTTTAGACCACAAAGGAAGGAAAAATGGAGCTGAAATATATGTAATAAAATAACGCCAGACAAGGTCTGCAGACCTTCATTGATTCTCTGATCCAGTTGTGTGATCGTCGACAATTCCTTCATCATTCTGGGCCTTGGTTTGTTGAACTATAAAATAATGAATTTGGACTAATTTCTATCTTGGGTCCCTTTAAGCAGGTATGAGATGATCTTTAAAGCTTCTGCCAGCTCTGGATTTTTGGAAAATGTTGTTTCATGTTTTTGTTGCTGTTGTTGTTGTTTCCTCAACTTTTTTACTATGCTATTATTTTACTTTTTCTTTATTTCATACATTTTCCCCTACAATATTCCCTGTAGTCTGAGCTTTAATCATGATTAATCCTGTGAAGAAGTCAGAGTATATAAAAAGCCAATCAGAGTTCCTAATATGACATGGAAAGATGACAGATATAAAAAGATATAGATGGTCATTAAAATTTATAATAATTGATTTAATTCATAAGAAATTAACACTGTTTATAGGAAGTTTGGCAGCTTTTATTTCATATGATGACAGTAAATTAAGTGAAGTGAAACCCATTTCATATGTATGGGAATCCTTAGGATTAATAGTGCTTTCAAATATGTTAATACAATTTTTCCCCATTGAATGGAAGTTTTAATTAAACTTTACTCTTTTGGTTTAATCCCTGGAGCCAACCTATAAAACACTAGGAGTTTTTGTTTTTGCTTTTGTTTTTAACACTAACAGTTTTTAATCAATTGTAAAAATCTTTAAAGCTCAAAGTTAAAGTGATAGCCACAATGGTGGGGAGAATAAAGGATTTATAAAATATGTCTCATAAACCAGCAACGCTTTATACAATGCTTTATACAATATATATCTATTATATATAATTACATGCACACAGTACACACACACACACACACACACATAACCTTTAAAACTAATCACTGGGGGAAAGGTAATTGTGGTTTATCAAAAGTAGTTTAAATACTTTAAAAGCATCAGAGTCTCTATAGCAACCAGTTTTTTTCTCTCTAAAGAAAGAAAGATTGACTCATTGGTATGTCAAGCATGAATAAGAGGACCTGCAGATTTATAATTTAACCTAGAATAAAATGACCAGTGCAATACCATTTTCTTAATTTCACTGGTAATAAAATGACACTGTAGTGTTTGATGCTGAACTTCATAAGGGATACAAGAATGTCTGTTTAGAAGAAATTGAGGTACTCTGCTCCCTCACCCTGCCTGCTTGCCTCCTCTCTTCTGGCCACAATAACTAAATAGGTAAATAAGTGAAATCAAACCGAAAAAAACATTCTATAATTCTTTAAGCAATGCTTCATAAACTTTTCTCACCCTAGTACCCCAATGGAAAGGAAGATTGAACACGCACCCTTAAGGATCTGTTGCAAGTGTAAAATTCCTTTGAAGTCATCTGTTTCATTTTAAAAAATTCATGTAGTTTTGAATTCTACCACATAATATATATCTGTTTTAATGGGAAAATGATGTGTTTCCTCCCAATATCTCTGAGTTAACAGAGCTCGAGGAAAATATGCTGTTTATACTATAGATTTGCATATTCTAAGACACCATTTTAGAAGTTTAGCTAAAGAATAAACACAATTATAAAATGAATTTTTCCACAGATCCCACATATTTCCCACCTTCAGTTTTCCTCTCACTTCAAGGTATTTTTTTGTCAGTTAATTTGAAGCCTATAACTCTACTACCCAACTGAAATGAATATAACTGCTATACAAGATAGAAAAGATCTTTACGCTATCAAAATTGATACTTGGGTTCCAAAAACCAAAAATATAGAAAAAAAGTATTAGTAGTAGTACAATTGTTATTTAATATGAGTTACATAATTCAACTCTTAACTGAATTAGTTTCATCTTATCAATATCTGCCTAGTTTAAAAAGAAAGGTACATTTTTTTTTCCGAAGGTGATCATTTCATATATAGTCCATCATCAAATAAACTGAATTATATAGTGCTGATCTATTTTTATTTTTGCTGGTTGACTATATACATGTTATGCACAGTGCTATAGGTGACAGAATGTGATTCAAACAAGTTTGAACTGCATATTATGCAAACAATACAAGTTAGATTCAAATACCAAGGAAAAGTATTGAACTATAAACAAGAGGTAACTGGCCTGACCTTTCATCATGCTTTATTTTTTTCCCCCTATAGACTAAATTCCAGAGTATCTTCTCCTAGGGCTTCAGTAGCAAAACATTAAAAAAATGGATTCTGAACAGGGATTTGACAAATGATAGTTGTCTTAGAGGACATGGCAGTTGAGATTTCTAGGCATGGGATGCAGCATGAAATCATACACAGAGACAGGACTACTAGAAAGCAATAAAATGGCTCAAGAGATAATATGTCATAGCACATTGAAATGAGAACTAGGAGGGGATGAAAGAGGGATGCAAGCAGGTGGAATGCACTTAAGAATTTTGAGTTGAGACTGAATTTCATAGGGAAAGAGAAAAAACAAGTCAAAATAACTTGAGAATGGGGATTGCTGTGGCCCAAACAGTGAGATAGGAAGAGGATTTCTGGTGACAGTGTTGAAAAACACTGGCAGGAAGAATACAGAAAAGCAGAAATAAAGTAAAACAGAGATTTTGCTCTTGAAATAGATAGGGAGAAAGAAGTTGGTGATACTGTAAAAGAAAAATATGAAAGGATTTACCAAAGCCCACACACAGGAAAGAAATAGAACTGGATATAATACATAGTTAGCTGTAACTGTAGCAACTATAGGTGCCCTTATGATTATCCTCTTCTAACAACAGTAACGACTACGACATTTGTAGTAGTATACTGAGTATTATGACTACTACTATTAGTAAAGATAGTGGTATAGCAACAGCTACATATTTACTATATGCCAAGCCTCTTATTTAATGTTTTAAATGTGTCAACTAATGTGATCTTCTTGTTACTATAATTCCCATTTTACAGATGAGGAAACAAAAACTTAGAAGTTTACATTAGTAGCTCTAAGTTATAGAAGTTATACAGTTAGGATTAGACCTTTATAATATCTAACTCAAAAGGCTGTGATTTACAGGTTACCTTCATCAATAGCAGTGGTGGCTAAAAGTATGTAGCAATGATATAGACATAGACACAAATATATGATAACATAGAAATATATATAGATAAACTAGTATTTAGACAAAAATCAAAGCTGATATAAGCTTCATTATAAATTTCATTACAGTTGTTCCAGATATTTTGACTAAAAATGGTTATCAGATATATTCATGTAAAGTATCCTCAATGTAAGAACTAAAAATTTAAAAATTAGGAACTAAAACCCATCATCATAAAATTAATAGATTATTTTATGTAATACATATTATTGATATACTCAAAATCTTCCTGAAATTGAATCTACATATTGAACAAATAAAATTTAGAAAAAAATTCTGGTAGAGGGCAATCAAAAAGTAATAATAGGATGACATGATCTATTTCAGAATTTGTCTTATTTGTGACATTTCTCATGTTTCCAATTACAAACTTTCTAAATGTTGCTATTATCTCACATTAGTTACATATTAGTAGTAAATGTGACCAGTCACAGAGGTCTATTTTTAAATGTAAGGGCCAAGATATTGAAGTTCTTTAGAAAAGCAATTGTCAGTGAGTATAATTTTACATCATATCTTAAGATTTGTTTTAACAAAAAGGAAAGTACTATGCAGTCATACTTTGTCTTCTTTTGTTTTTCTGATCCTCGGACACATTGGATTAAATTAAAGAAATACATTGAGGATTTGGTTGACAATACCAGAGCAGCAGAGATGACCACTGAACATCACTGAATATTATGCAAACAACATTATGGGTTTTACAGACATACATTTTTTCCCCTTCAATGGACACTAACAGGTTTATATGGTTTGTAATAAACTTGGGAAACATATATGCTTTTGAGTCCTTACTGAAAATCCAGAGTTCTAGAGAAATGGAATTACAATAGTGCAATTTCAAATATAAGATTTACGGCATAGTTTTCTTACCTAAGAGGGAAAATGTACTTCTCCACATATATATTCTCACCTTCAAAAAATGTTTTCTTAATCCTTTCTCCCTTCTTTCACTCTGTAGCTTCTTACAAAAGTAGACGGTATTCACCAACAAAGCAGATTAGCTCAAATTAAAATCTTGGAGACATTTTTATTCCCTTCTCCTGTTTTCCACTAATGCCAAGTCCCACCCATTCTAGTCCTCCAATGATGCCTTGATGCCTACCATATCAGGGCAAGACTACTTGGCATGACACTGAAGTCTCTGAATTGACCAGGTTACTGCTCCAGCCCTAGAATCAACCACTCTTTCACCCATCTTAACACATTTTGCCACTGTTTCTTGCTCATATTATTTGCTTGCATGCCTCTTTTCCATGTGTGTAAAAATCCTATGCTTATGCTTCACACTTTGACCTCTTCCATGAAGTCTTCTCTTACCTACATATTCAAAAGGAACTTCCTATCTCATTTAAATTATAGTATACTAGCTTTTGGGTAGTACTTCTCATATTCATCCTTATTTTATAAAGTATGTGTATATATGTCTTTTTTTACCTTCTGGATTTTAAACATATTCAGACAAGAACTATCCCACCATCATTTTGATATCATCAAAAGCCCCATGGTATGGTTCCTTTGCAAACAATATACACTTAAGTGATTATGAAATGATTGAATGAACACACTATCTGACCAGAGATATGAAAGCCTCAATAACCTAGCAGTATTAAAAATATAGTAAGTAAAAAGTAGGTCATTAAAATGTACTATAGTATCAAATATATGTTAATGGAAACTATGTTCTTGCTTTTCTTATATCCATAAACAAAAAGAAAAATATGATAAATGCTTATTTAATATTACCACTTAAAATAAAATACTAAGGCAAGGAATAGTTTCAAAATAGCTACAAATCAATTACCTTTGCTTGCACTTTCAACATGTTCCAGTTCTTCAGGAAATTTCAGGATATCCCGGTATTTTTCCTCACATATTTCAGCAATAAAATGCAAGAGTGTTGTTTTTTGATCTGCTGACTTAGTATCTCTGATCTGGAATAAAATAACAATATTTTTAGTATATTTTGGGTAATGTAAATATAGACTTTTTCTTTAATTTATGATAATTAATTTAAAATTAAAAAAAAAACTAGGGGTACCTCCCTAATGGGGACTAGCAACAATGCTCTAAATTTTAAAATGAACACTATATTTTAAAAGAAAGATGACCCAAAAAACAGAAAGTTTAAATTTTGATATATATATTGTAAAAGTCTAAATTATTATGGCAAAAAATCAACTATTCTTGGAGAAAAGAGCATTAATTCAAGTATTGATAATTATAGTATTAGTTAATGTGTGCTTATATTATCAGCATTTGTTCTTTGCTTTATCACAGAAATATATTATTGAAAGCTGGATTTGTTTGTGAGCTTCTATTTATTTGTAGCCATTATTCATACAAATTAATGTAAAGTAGTAAGTACATATTTCTCTCCTTTACTTGTATAGCCCATCAAAAAAGAAAAACTGAAAACTCCTCATGCTGATTTAAAATAGAATCTGAGCACACAATTGTGATGACATTTTTTTTTTCCTGTTTACGTATGGTATTCCCTTTTCAGAGACACTGTTAGAAAAGAGATGCTATAGTTAGAATGATGAAAATCTTTAAAGTACAGAACAGGGGGTGCCTGGGTGGGTCAGTCGGTTAAGCGTCCAACTTCGGCTCAGGTCATGATCTCACAGTTCGTGGGTTCAAGCCCCGTATTGGGCTCTGTGCTGACAGCCAGCTCCAAGCCTGGAGCCTGCTTCAGATGATGTTATCTCCCTCTCTCTGACCCTCCCCTGCTCACGCTGTCTCTCTCTTAGAAATAAAACATTAAAATTTAAAAAAAAATAAAGTACAGGACAAAAAAATATAATGAAAATCTAAATGTTTTCTTTAATATAACACTCAGACTAGACTAAGCTGCAAAAGAAACCAAGGATTTACCCACAAAAAAAGGATAAATATGGAATAAAGTATCAAGTTTTCTCATTCTACTGAATGTTTTAATTCTATGATCCTTAGATTATGGGTTTTCCTACTGATATTCATACTTATTCAGGGTTTTAACATTATGGATAACTCTGTTTAGAATAAATGTATATTCTTCCCTGACAGGTTTATGAAAAGGCTGTGGAAGATAGTTAGGTAATTAACAGAATAATTTAATACTTAACTGTTTTAGTGACTGAGAAAAAAAATCACATCAAAACAAAGCCACAGAAGGCATTATGTTGACGGTTCAGGTGATCACAAAGTCACAATGATTTCTTTTAGAATTTCTGGAATTACTTTATTCTACATAGGTGAAATATTTAAAATTCTGCATTATCTTGCTTACCCACCTAACACTTTCATGGTTGAAATAACATAATTTAAGGACAAGCTATAAATAAGAGAAAAAAGCAACAAAACTTCAAGGGCAACTTATGTGAAACAAGGCTTTTGCTCTATAGGAATCAATGGGAGGTTCACTTTCCTAAAAAGAGGTCTTTACCTGGGATTACAGTGTTATATGTTTATAAAGTACATTGTCTTCAGAGTATGCTGTATATTACAAATTATAAGAAAATTCACATTTTCTTTTTTTCATATTAAACACTTGAATTCCTAAATCTTAAAAACATTAGTTGCTTAGGGAAAGTAGAAGGTACATCTCCCTGAAGGAAAGGAAATTGACCTATATTTTATAAACTCTGTGGAAACTACACAGATGCACACACACAGCACCATTACCACCACTACCAACAACAACAGCAACAAAAACACACCTAATTTTTCAGAACCTCAGAATTGTACAAACATATATTTAGGTATTTTATTCTATTATTATTTTTTAATGTTTATTCAGTTTTGAGAGAGAGACGGAGAGAGAGAGAGTACATGAGGATGGGAGGGCCAGAGAGACAGAGACACAGAATCCGAAGCAGGCTGCAGGCTGAGAGCTGTCAGCACAGAACCCTATACGAGGCTTTAACCCACAAACTGTGAGATCATGACTTGACCCAAAGTAGGACGCCCAACCAACTGAGCCACTAAATGTACATGGCCAATACTGGAAAGAAAAACACAAAAACAGAAAAATAGCATTGTGCTCATATGCCAATTTTATGGGTGATTTAAGAACCAGCTTTTGGCATGCATACTTATGAATGCTTAATTTACAGAAACAGCTTTTAATTAATAAATATTTATTCAGAATCAGGTCCATTAATTTAATTTCTGTTAAGAAATTTAGTTGAGTTGATGGTTACATACCAAGAAGATAAATGAAACATAACATTTTGGTTAAATAAATATCTTGGTATCTTTGTTGAAATCAGAAAGACTTGAAGGCAGAGTATGGATATGCTTTTAAAAAACTGTAATATCCCCTTCAAAGCATGGGCAAACATGGGCAAGTGCCTATTTTGTCAAACTGAGAAATAGTCGGTATGGGAGACAAATTGCTAAATCTGTATCACAATATTATTTTTTAAATAACTTCACACAGAGAGTCTATTTTAAGGTTTCAAACTGTCAGGGAATAATTGTGACAAACGTGGTCTTTTAAATTTTCCTCTATATGTATGACCCTTAGACCAGTCATTTAAAAATAAATATATACTTTTAAAATAAAGGGGATATTTTAATTATTAAAGTATATTTACTTTGTATTACCATGTCTTCAGCCTCTCTTACTGAATCTGTACCATTCCATGCATTAGGCATTGTCACTCTCAGGACCTATTGTGTTGTTCAATGTCAGCACAGAAGGCAATTAAGAACATTGACCTTCATCAGTTCTAAAGGTTAATGGCATTTATCCAATAATTTCCTCTTCCAAGTGTACTAGTTGGACATATATATCTCCATTTGATATCTGGTTAACTTGAAATTATGATAATTTTACATTAACATCAACTATTCTAATAATACTTGTCCAAATTGCCCAAGTCTCAGTAGTGGTGATACTGTCAACATTTCACGGTTTGCTTCCACCAGGAGCCAAGTTCCTTTTGGCAAACCTGCCTGTGATTTCCCTGTCTCCCTCTCATCGGCCACAGTAGGCAGAGGTATGAGATAGATACATAACTTATCTTTATAAGATACAAAACGATGATTAAAAAAATACTCACCCTATAATCTTATGTCTTGTATATATTTCCACATAATAAAAACACAAGTAGCAGTTCCAGAAATTGGAAATATTTGAAAGAGCTAAAAACACTTTATAATATTTTAATAAGCTGAGTTATCAGCTAATGATAACAATAAAAAGAAGATAGAGCAATTCACTATATCCACTGATAAAGTACCATCAGTTAATAAACTATAGGATTATTTTAATTATAATCATCTGACCAATAAATGTTACACATAAAGATTAATAACTAAATGTATACTAATTGTATCTACCTAATCTTTAATAGCTTTCTGAAATGGTACATGAATATAAGATACTTAGAACAGCACATATCTATAGCAAATTCTTATAGTTTCTCTTTTTTTCTAATAAAAATGAATGCTATATTATGAAAAATAGTGTTTGCATTTGACAAGTTCCAATACATTTCTACCACTATTGGTTAGGCAGATAGCAAGATATCTGAATAACTAATTGCCATGTAAGAGATTTTTTATTTTAAATACTTCCATTCAACCCTGAAAATCTAGTATATGCCCTATCTTTGAAATAGGCAGTTCTAAGCACCTAAAGCCAGCACACAGAGAGCCTGAGACAATAACATTTTAATCATGTACATCTGTCATACTCAATCTTTTTGTGAAGGACGTCTTCTGTAGGTAATTTTCCCCTCTGCTGAGATTTAAGTCTATTTCTTCTTGTTCTGTCCTCAGTGGGAACTGAAAATAACTGGTCACTATTCTCTGTATACCAGAGTGAGACCAGGTATATAACCACCTCTTACATAGTGAGAGCTCCCTTCTCAGTGTGTCCTGTCCTTTAAACCAAACAATTTTGGTAAATTTAGTGTCTCCACACAGACCTTAGTTTTCAGATGTTTAATTTTGAAAAGATAAGGATCCACTCAAAGTTCCCAGAACATACCATGTGATGTTATACTATTGTGCTTTTCCACATATTGTTCTTTCTCTATATGCCCCCTCTTCCCCTTTCTTTTTTCTGTCAGGTGAATACCTACTTACATTTGAAAACTATTCAACTATAACCTTATATCTGAAAACTTTTCTATCTTAAGAATAATTAATGTCTTTTTTTGAGCCATGTTCCTTCACTATAAACATTTTAACACAGTAGTTTTTTCCAATCAATATGAGCTCTTTCAAGGTTAGAGACCCTGTTTTCTTAATAATTTTTTATCCACAGTAACTAGGAGAATGCTAAAGCATACTAGGTAGGCAATAAATGTTTCTGAATGAAGTTTTTTTCTCCAAGTCAGTTCTCACTTGTGTGGATTATAAGAGTAATACTTCTAAATTAAACTCTTTTTGTTTGTGTGTGCATGTGTGTGTACATCCTCATATATATAGAAAGGCTGATTACAAAGCCCAGACTTTTCCAGGACATCACATTTGTTGAGAGTTAGATAGGAGTGAATGCCAGAATAAAGTTATCTTGTGCCTTTCAGGAATGGAGCACCATATGATTGCAAGGGGAGACGAGTTAGAAGCAAAGGAAATATAAATATAGAATTATATCCAGTGATCCACTGTTGGGGTAGGGATTGTGCTGAACAATAAGGAACAGAGACAAATGATGCATGGTACCTTCGAAGCCTCATGGAGCTCAAAACTTAGGAAAAAAAACCCACAAAATTATACAGAAATGAGAAGATATAGGAGAGTAACTTGGTGGCAAATTTCAAGGACTGGTAAAAGTAAAATAACTAGGATATATGTAAAAATGGTGAAGAAAGAACAAATTCAAGACACGTTTTGGAGACAAAAAGGATTAAGTCACTGAAAGGAATATTTAGAATAGGGAAAGGGACAAATCAAGTTTTAAATTCTGGTGTTTAAGTGAGTGTATCATGTTGGTAAC